GCTTAAAATTACAATTCGCTTAAAACTAATTATAATTTCAGCAATCATTTTTAAAAAAAATATTTTACATTTCTGTAAACATTGTCGCGCTTTTGGCTTGCTCTCCTTACAATTCAGCTATTATATCAATAATGTTTTATTTTCTTATAAATGAACTCGTGCAAAGAGAGGACACTTCATCCGGAATACTTTTAATGTATCAGTGCTGCACAGAGTATTTTATAACTAATTAATTAATACTAAATTAAGAACAAGTTTAATAAGTATTAAAGACTTCCATGAGTTTGTCTTGCAAAGCAAAGTTTTTATAAGGAATGCCTATGATTAGAAATTGACCCTCTGAGTTCCTTTTCTATATTTAGCAGATATCTATATTTTGTCTTCTTAGCAGCCACCGCATTTTGCAATATGTTCAATTTAAATTTAGAAAAAGGAAAAATAACATAATAATTATCCCATTGTTTTATTTATATATTTATTTTGCTTAAAAGTAGTATACAAAATTTAATACTTATGTTACTAAATTTTTATGGTTTATAATTAAGATCGCCTATTGTAGCTTTAGCGTCAAAGTGCATTATTATTGCATTCAGTACATTATTAATGTATAAGGGGGGCGCGATAAAAATTGTGATCGAAAAGGGGGGCGCCAGTATTGAAAGTTTGAGAAGCACTGGTTTAAAGTTGTACTGAACAGCTAATAATGCTGGGGCGAATCATTTCTATCGTAAACAAAAAAAAAACTCTTTCATTGATTCTTCTTCAACAAATAGGCAGCATTTACGTTTTTCTATAATATAGAAATCCAAACAAAATGAATACAAAATGCGTCGTTTGAAGCAGTCTTCATTTTAAGTTTTAAATTTATAGGCTACGTAAAGCGGGAGGAATACCAATTATCGAACATTTTCACTGTATTCGATAATAAACAACATTCTCAACTACTCACATATAAAAACAGTATGAATTAATTCTTTTGTAATGTTCGATTTCTTTTTTATAGTGCGGTGTATCTTTTCTAATACGATACATTTTGTATCTTACATATAGTGAAATAGAAATTTAGAATTTTTCTCCTTATCAGTGTCACAAAAAACTATTTTTGAAGTTATGCGTACATTTTTTTTAGCTTCCTGAGAATTGTTATTATCATGCGACAGTCAGAAACTATCCCGATGCTTCTGCTGCATTTTATACCTGTAACGGAATGAGGTAAACGTTTAACATTTCTTTGATAACATACTCAAATGAAAAAAAATAGTTATTTTATTAAATATAATCTCAAATATATATATATATATATATATATATATATATATATATATATATATATATATATATATATATATATATATATATATATATATATATATATATATATATAACTAAGTACTAAATGAGAAATGTATTCCGACTTATTTAAATAATTAGGTATCCCGTATTTGATTCTATAAGGGTTGCCCAAATGAAAAGTAGACTTATGAGATTACTTTAGAATGAATTCTGCTATAGCAGAGCCACCAAAAAGGAACACGAAGGACGATAAGAAACGTACGCCGTATACAATGTTTAACAATGAAACCAATTAGTGGTAGAGAAAATTAATCGAAAGTAAAGTCGGGCAATACAAGGATGCACTCTGATCGGTACAACATGCGGTAGTACGTTTTCTGATTGCAGGAGGTTAGTTTGATGAGGACGTCTATCAACAAATAGAGTGGCAGTCTATGGCCAGCACTGTCTAGGTCTGAACAGTTGATGTAGGAGAGTTTCCAGAAGGGCAGCTAACGGTATAGGAATCTCCATGACGATGTTTACCCATGCGTCTCTCGTGAAACCAAGCTTGCCTTAAGGTATCCGACTACGTTCGGAACCGTGATTTTAAAAAAGCGTATAAATAGATAATTTTCATGATATTTAGTGTCACTTAGATTAGAGTATATATATAAAACTGTTTTAAGGGCATTTTTACAAAAAAATATTTAAATACAATATTTCGGCAAAAAATTAACTTAGAATAACATTTTTTCAAAACGTTCTCCTTTCGTGAAAAATGCTTCTATTATATTACTATTTTGCACGTGTATAGCTCATACCTCGGTACAGAGGCTCAACTATGACTTTTGAAAAATTCACATTATTTTCAGAGTTACAACCCATTGAAATAATATATATATTATCGGCTTTTTTTTTCTTAAAATTCTCCCCTCTGTTGTCGTAAAACATGGATGAACCCACTCCTGAGTTATATATTTCAAAAATTCTAGTTGAGCCTCTGTACAGAGGTCTGAGCTACATACAGGCGAAATATTTTTATAATAGAAGCATTTTTCACAAAAGGAGAATATTTTAAAAATAGGTCATTCTGTGCTCATTTTTGTCAAAATATTGTACTTAAATAATTTTTTATTGTAATTCTATTCTTAAAATAATTTTATGCATATATTTTAACCTAAGTGAAACTAAATATCATGAAAATTATCCATTTATGCGCTTTTGAAAATCACGGTTCCGAACGTAGTCGGATACCTTAAATACAGTTAGTAGTGCCATAACCAACCCATACCAACTTTTGTTATACATAGGTTGACATATTTGAAAATCACATTTCATGCGTGTACGTAAATCTTTGTAGGGGAGCATTAGCATTTTAAAATCACTTCACAAATTTTAAGTTTTTTCTTTAAAAAATTAAATGGCTAGCTTTTTATGGAATTTTGAGCACAAAATCTGTTTTATATAGTATGCACACATAGGAAGCAACCAAAAAAAAATTTAAAATCCTTAAATTAAAATTTTTTGCGTAAATCGTACCATGTCCCCTTTAAACTTTTAATTCTTCAAATACAATTTATTGGAAATCCTCTTCATTTCACATACTTTTTCTTGAGCATCTTTTCAATAATTCAGTAAAGCCGTACCAATGTTAACTAATTAAAACCATTCTTAAATATCATCAAACAGTAATCTAAAGTTAATTAAATTTGGGAATAAGCAGAGCTTGGCATTCTTCAAGTGATTATGAAAGTCATTATAAGAGTATATATAATTAATTTAATTCCACTGCTTAATTTGACAAAAGGGCTTCATTTTCGGCTTCGTAAATCTTATCTTGGTTTTTTAATGTGCGGAAAATAATTTGATTTACGCGTTGACGGCAGTGTGTGTGTAAAAGATTATTCGCAAACTTATTACTGAACAACGCTACTATCAAAATGCATTGGAAAGTTCTTCCTGTATATTATATATATTCTGTAATCTAGTTACATATCACTAGAAAGGGTGGTTTATAGATTTAATTTTTATCTCCGAGTCAGGACATAAAATTATTGAAAATTTGATTCATAGGTAACAAATTATATTTTCCTAATGAAGATATATCTACATATATATATATATATATATATATATATATATATATATATATATATATATATATATCTCAATTTTAAATATAATTGGATTATTTAAACGACTTCCGAGATTTAAAAAACTATTATTGATTTATACACAGGTCAGCGTTTCTCAAAACGAGGAGCGCTCCTTCCGCATAATGACCCTTCGTGGGAAACGCGGTCATATCGAAATGTTGAAAATAAAAAAATTTTAAAAAAATTATCAATTTACTGAAAGGAAGTAGAACAAAATACATTCTGACATAATAAAAAATGATATACTTATTTTAACTGATGTAGTATACTTACAAATGCATCAGTACTCTACACAGAGTATTTAAAAATTAATTTATTAATACACTAATTTAAAAACAAATTTAGTAATTACGAGTGATTCCATTGGCCTGTCATATACAAAATTACACTATACACTGCCAAACACATTGTACACTACTTTAAATATTTCTTAAAATTAGTTTATTTTAATATAAAGCTTTACTTTTTGGAAACATAGTTTACATGTTCCCTCAAGATATATACTTGTGTGGGTTTAATAAAACACGGTTATCCGTATTTTAATGTGTCCCCCTTGTGAAAAGTCATAATTTTATAGAAAATACTTCAGGGTAATCAGAAAACACTTGTTTTAAAAATTGGAGAAAGAAATTTATTTTTACACATTAAAACGTGAATATATATGTAATAAATGTTCAAAATATTCAAATAAGAGAGCGTATATTCAACAATTTTTATCCCTTCATCAAGACTACAGTTCGTTTTTGTTCTACAAAAGCATGTATCACAAAATAAAATTTTAATTTAATGATGCCACTTAATCTGCAACATCTGTGTAGCAAATTATCGTCTGTTCTTTCATTAAAACAATTTATTTCTAAAATAGTTTCGTTTTTTTAAATAAATTAATATACAAGATTTTAAGAACATTTAGGAACATTTTTGTAAGAACACCAGAAACATGCTCATTAATCATATATTTGATATTAAATATGTGTAAGATGATTCGCAATATTTCTCAATTAATAATGTACAAAAGCTTTTCTTAAAACTTTCTACATTTTATTTTTAGAATATATTTTGTCTCACATTATTTTAAACTTTAAAAATACTTCAGTTTAAAGTGAATCAGAAAATACACATAGATAAAACTAACATAATCATTCGATAAATCAGATTAAATAATTTTTTTCTGAATAGAATTTCCTTCAAGAAGGGCTTGAAGATCGATTAAATATGGAATAATTTTATTTTTTAAATCTAGTAAAGTATATATATATATATATATATATATATATATATATATATATATATATATATATATATATATATATATATATATATATATATATATATAAATGTTTTTCAAATTTTATATATATATCGTTCAAACTTTCAGTTAATAAAATATATACTTTCTATTCATCCATTCAATTCAAATATATTTTTAAACTTGTAGTGGATGACACTTGAAGTTAATAGAGTTTTTCAAATATTAATTCATTAATTAAATTAAAAAATGAATAAATAATAACAAAAAAATAATGGTCCAACTGCATAAATAGAAAGGAAAATCGTTCTCTATGTCCCTGTATCGCAATGATTAGCGGGTTGGACTTCTAATCCAAAAGTCGTAGGTTCGAATCCCCCAAAGTTGGCCTAATTTCCGAGAATGTGATTTTTTTTTACTATACTATTTTAATAGAACAATTAACTTTAATGAATACATAAATAGTAACAAAAATAATAGTCCAGCACCCCATATAGAAAGGAAAATGGAAAATTGCAAGGAAAACCGCATACTTTTTTACCACTTAATATTGTGTGATTCTGTCATATGTATATACATATTTATATTAATTGTAACTATTTAATAAGAAGTAATTAAAATAAAAATTTTCTAAGTTGACCTAAGTAGGAATTGACTTAAATCTGTTTAAAGTAAAACAATTTTTATATAACGTCCCAATCTCGTAGTTTTACGTGGGTATTAGCATCGTTGTGGGAGTGAGTGAATATTAACGGCGCACTGTTCAGCGCTACCCGAGAGCATTTGGCGACGGACCACGTAATTTTGAACCATTGTCAAGTGACGTGGATGACACCTGAGCTGTTACCCCCTCTCCTAACTATCACACCACACCAACGGGAGGACGTTGCAGCTCTCGACAGATTTAACGTGCATCGCTGCCCTACATGGCGGTTCTTTAGAGGTACGGGGCTCGAACTCATGACATGCCTGCCATGATCCGATACCTTGACCACTGGGCTACCGCAGCCCCTATCAGCATCGTTGAAAGAAGACATGTTTAATGGGCTCCCAAAGAAATGTGATAACTTGGCAAAAGAAATAATTAATTTTGATTTTTTTTATCTATCAATGATTTAAAATATGGCAATGATTTTGTGATTTTGGGGCACTTTAAAAATATGTTTTTTCTAACTTATCAATTTTTTCTAACATTTGTATGTTTCAATTTCAGAGGGATCATATTTTTGGAAAATAAAGTGTTTTTGCTGCACCCTTTACAAGGAAATCATTCGGTAAGAAATAATTATTTTTATAAAGAGTAAAAAATGTCATTTAAAATTTTATATCGAGAAAATAAAAATAGCATTTATCGGAACCTATTTATGCGGGAAAGATGTTCTGTAGTATAGAGATTAAGAAAAAACATTAAAAAATAATTTTGAAATTCAATATTGCCACTAAGGGGTTGAATTTTCGAGAAAATGAAAAAGACTTAACTTTGGTTCGACCCAAGCTTATTATTTTTCTACGATATAAATAACCTAAAGTGATGGATACCGATTTGTGCGTAGAGAATATGCAACATGCATTTATTGCAACATTTCATAACCAAGCTGTCTCTCCGCACATTCGAATCTCAGTCCGGTCCAAACTTTTTTCCATCTTCCGCTTTATCTCGTGCAAGGTAACTTTGGCATTTTTAACACCCTTTTATAAGCTTCACTAGTATATATGGGCAATTTTTATACACTTTAAAAGATCAGATTTATTTGAAATTTTGCTCACTTGTCCAGGACCGATGGCAATACAATTATTTAATAATTTTGTTCCATTGTCCTTATCAGGATCATCAGGACTAATGATTTCCCACACTTTTAAATCTCATCCCGCATCTGGCGACTAATTTCAGATCCTATTTCCAGATTTGGTGACTAAAAGATTAAGTTACAACTTGTTATTGTCGTGTGTTTTTATCCTGGGATACATATGAAATACAAGTGGAATAGGAACATACAATACAAATAGAAGAGCATAGATATTTATTACAAAATGATGATCCCAGTATATAACAGAAACATGTGCGTTGCTTTCCATTCGAGACGGAAATTCATGACAAGTGATGAAAGTCCGACTTCTTTTCCCGAAGAAAATACATCGATGCCTTACTCGACATTGGAACCCGAACCCATTCGGTTAAAAGCCGAGGATCATATACACAGTACTGGCTGGGCAGCAAGTTGCAACTTAGTTCGATTAACTATAAAAGGGTGTTTTTTAGTTTTTTTAAAACTGTAATTTATTCCATCTATAACGTTCTATCGCTTTTTATATCTCATTTTATATTTTATAAAAATATAAGAAGGGAAACATATTCGTGTGTTTGTTTAGAAATATAATACTAAAGAAGTTTTTAAATTTGCCTAATGTTTTTTTTTCTTGCTCTCTCATCGCACTAAATGTTAAAATGTAATAAAATAACTTAACAAAAAGCTCAAATACTTAAACTTCCTTCCCATTGTGGCAGTACTTAATTTTAAAATTAATTTTATTTTTTCCCTTCATCTACATATCACAGAACATCTTTTCTGCATATTTATGTTTCAAAATTCAGAAAAAAAAATTGTTTTTGAATTTTCTTTTTCAGAATCTCAAAACATAAATATACGGAAAAGATGTTCTGGGGTTGGGTTGTCACTCGCCTTCTGCACCTAAGGTTTCAGATTCGACCCCGACCCAAGTCGGTGGATTTTCATGATGCAGAAAATTGAGTGTCCATGTCGTATGATTATGCAGCATGAAAAAAATCCCTTGAGTACCTGTTTGGCTTGGGTGCTCTCGGCAAAATTAAATTCTTAGAACAAATTCCACATCATCAGAGCTCAGGTGCCTCACTCTGGGGAGGAAATTGGACATCAAAATTACTTGCGGTAATTGATATCGTCTGTATGGTGTCGCACTAAAAAGTAATACCAGCTCCTAAAAATGTAATTGGTTTGCAAAGGTTAAAAATACCAATACGCAGCCCCATTAGAGATAGCCTACATATATACACGAACAATCTTACAAGACTGTTTAAATTAATGCAATATATAAATTAAATAAAGCCTTTTAAATAAACCATATAATTAAATAATACATTTATGAGAGAAAAGTAATTATTATTTTAGAGTATTTCTATGAATTAAATTTTTGTACTTGATCAAAGATATGTATTTTGAATAATGGTTTGAAAGAAACATCTTTTTAGAGATGAAGATCATGCATTGAATGCTAAATATGAAGAAAGAAATTGTTATCAGAAATCATAAAAAATATTAGGGTGCGTTCTTGTAGTAATATTCCCACAAAAATATTTGAAAAAAATGCTTTGAATAATAAAATCGGTTTTAAATAATGAATAGGTTTTTAGCCATATATTTTAGCTTAATCTTTCGTACCTTTTTCTTTTAAGTAATTTTTAAAATTCAGAGTGATGCTCACACAACTTTTTCCGATACTGGAAAATTTAATTAATCGATTTTCTTTTTCAATTCCTTGAGAAAATAAATTAATCTTTCTTTTTACATCATGTTTGTGTGTGTGTCTTTTAAATTTAAAAATACATAAAAGAAGTGTTTATAATAAAAAAACCCTAAGGGGCTTATATTGTACGATAAAGTGCATAAAAACACTAAATAAATCGAAATTTTAACTACCTAAAGGAAGAATAAGATACCTAATTTGCTTAAAATATGAAATTAACTATAAATTTTGGTATACATATATTTAAAAATAAAAGGAATCCTTTTTGAACTTAAAATTCCCTGCAAAAAATGCTTCAAATACATCGAAATAATAAGAGCAAAAATATTTCATTGCGCTCTCTCACTACATTTTTTAAAAAATAATTTTAACAATATTTATAAATATTATTTTCAATGTTTCACGCATAATTATTATTCCTAAAATGTATTTTTTTCCTTTTTCACTAGGACAATTATCCTCATCTGCTATATCATTTTACACCGGATCAACTACTAAATTGTGGTAAGATATCTTCGGTTATCAATTTTGACAATATTTCTTTATATTTAATTTTTCAAATCAGGTACCTGATTAACCATAAATCTGGTTATTATGCTTAATGCAGAATGATTTAAATTATTCTTATATTGGATATTTGCTAAAATAATCATTGAAATTTCTTGCTTAGTAAGAAACAGATGTTAAAGAATAAAAAAAATTTAAGATGGCGCTGGATCAATTGTTTATAACTACAATTTGAAATTAATTGTAAAAAATGAATGAGAATAGTATTTTTTTAATTTCCTTTTCATTAATGTTTGCATGTATGATCTCGCTTCACTCCAACAACGTTCAACCAATCAATATGAAAATTGTCATGTATATGTATTTTTTGTGGAGAAGGTTTTTGTGCTGTCCTCTTTGTTGCAGCTCCCCACCAGGTGTGCTACATCATATCAACTTCTGCATCGTTCAATCAATCGCCAAGTTGCTAACATGGTCACCAAAAATGATGCTAACTTGGCTCTATCACCAACATTTCGCTATGTTTCCACTGAATCGCCATTATAATGTAAGGAACGGCGTTGCTTGCGAATATTACAACTTTAACATAAAATAAATACAACAGAAAGTAATATTAACGTGTTACACATCCGGATATAAATTGTTTACACTATTTTAAGCGTTCATTATACAAAACCTGTAACAATGTGTTACTTTTGCTGAGCTTAGGAAGGTGTTTAGAAAGATCGACCCACATGAAAGTTACGGGGTGCTTTAAATAAAGAAAAGGTCTTTTCTTCAGCTATTAGAACTACAGACTTCAAATTTAACAAATAGGTTTTTTTTGTACAACTGAGATGTGCAAAAGGCTATTTTTTTACTTTTGTTTACTTTGCAATTTACGTAAAATTAACTCTCATTAAAAACTTCTTTATCCTTCAATCTGCATTGTTTAATTTTTCAATTCACCTTAGCAAAGAACGGGTGCACCAGGTGGTATATACACACACACACACACACACACATATATATATATATATATACATCATATGACTATATACGTATATCACGTCTTGAAAGTTTTTGCAACGACACCTTGGTGGGATAAATTGGAATTCTGTTTTCTTAACAAGAAAGTACTCGTTAATTGTATCTGTATATTTCATTTATTTTATACGTCATGCTCAAAAGAATAATTTATCTTTTGATGCTAAAAACCATGAATGCACAGTATGCGAAAGCTTGTTCACGTTATGCTACAAGAGTCAAGAGAGAGTGACGACAATAGCCAACTGTTTATGGTTTGCGCCAACTCGTGGCGAGCGTTCTCGAGTTAGGGATTCAAAACCTACTGCTAATGAAGACCGGCTTGTAGAGGGGCTAACACACATTAA